ACGACGACACACACACACACACACACACACACACACACACACACACACACACACACACACACACACACACACACACATGTGCAGGTCAACAAATTGGAATGTGTGCACGACGCACCACGTCAACAGGTTCATCTCGAGATGATGATGGTGACGACGATGACGATGACGGTGCTGGTGCTGCCTTCATTGCTTCGATGATTTCAAGCATGCGTTTTGTTGTCTCTGTCAACCGCAACACAATGATACAATTTGACGCGAGAAGCAGATGGGCATGAGGTCTTACGCCGCTCCATAGTTAAGTTCGTTTCCTCTGTCAATTTGTGCAGCAAAACAGAACGCGGAAGCGCGCAAATACAGATGCACGCGCACATGAGACACACGCATGCCTCCACAGGTGTGAGTACGCTGTGACGTACGATCTGTGCTTTCTGGGTGGTCGGCGTTTGTCCAATCGGTAATGACGCTCCATTTGTCCCGCACTGCAACACAACGCAATACAGTGGACGTGATGGTGGTGAGATGATGACGGTGAAGTGCAAGGTGTGGACGGCGCATGACACGGTTACTTCACAAACAGATACGAACATGTATCCGTACCCACGCATGCACACACATACACATACACATACACACACATACACATACACACACATATACACGTACGCACTCACACACATACGTACACAAACACACACTCCATACACGCACGCACACACGCACACATACGTTCATACGGAGCATGCATGTGCACATCACAGTGTCTGTCGGTCGAGCATACAGACCAGTTTCTGGGGTGATGGTTGTTGTTGGGGAACGCATGACAGCGCCGAGTGTTCGCTCCAGCCGGAGCTTGCTCACCCATCCACCGCCAACCTGAGGTGGACACGGGCGCGAACGGAGGTGAGCTTGCTTGTCAAGTCTCGCAGGTAGTGTTCAAGTACACACACACACACACGCATACACACGCACACGCACACACACACACACACACACCTCGTAAATGCCTTTTGTCTCCGTGCACGAGTCGTGACAGAGCCAGAGCAGGAGCGGGGCGACGAATTCCGGCTTGACGGCCGCAGCGTACGATGGTGGCATGACACCCGCAGAGAGGCGTGAGCCGGCTGTTGGCGCAACGGCGTTGCACGTGATGTTGTACTTGCGGCCCTCAATGGCCAAGGTGTGCGCCAACCCAACAAGCCCCAGCTTGGCGGCGCTGTAGTTGGCCTGGCCAAAGTTGCCGTACAACCCAGACGTGGACGAGGTCATAATTACCCTGCACGCAAAACGTCGTCGCACGTGAGAGATGCGTGTGTGTCTGTGTCTGTGTCTGTGTCTGTGTCTGTGTCTGTGTCTGTGTCTGTGTCTGTGTCTGTGTGTCTGTGTCTGTGTCTCTGTATGTCTGTGTGCCTGTGTGTGTGTCTGTTTGTGTTTGTGTCTGTGTCTGTGCCTGTGTGTGTCTGTTTGTCTGGCTCTGTGTCTGTGTGCAAGCTGAGCAATGCAGGAATTAAACATCACAGAAGGAAGACTATGTCCCGCTGGAACAGGGGCGTTCACAGTTCGGTGCAATCCACAACACAAACCTGCCAAACTGTTGCTCTCTCATGACATCCCAGGCTGCCCTGGTCACGAGGAAGGAACCCTTGAGGTGGACCTGTGCAGTGATGCATGTGCACATGAATACGATGCATGAGGAGACGCAAACGGAAACGCACAGCGTGTTGCAGAAGCGTGCCAATCTACTGGCACGGAAAACGGCACACACACACATAAAGCACAAGACACACACACAACACACAAACACAACACACACACACACAAAACACTCGTTCACGCACACACAAAGCACAACATACAAAGCACAACACACATTGTACACGGCGTCCCACTCTGCTTCGGCCATCTTGGAGAAGGACTTGTCACGCAAGATGCCGGCGTTATTGACGAGGATATCGAGGCGGCCAAAGTTGCGGATGGCAGTGTCCACGAGCGATTTGCCGGCTTCAACAGAGTCATAGTTGGCCACTGCGATCCCGCCTTTGCGCTTGATCTCTGCCACAACGTCGTCTGCTGCCCTCGTGCTCTTGCCTTCGCCACTCACAGATCCACCCAAGTCGTTCACTGAACACAAACACCCAAACAACAGTAGTGGTTGTGAATGTGTGTCAAAGTGTGTGTTCATCTGTGTCTGTGTCCGTGTGTGTTTGCATGTTTGTTTGTTTGTGTGTGTGTGTGTGTGTGAATATGCGGCTGCCTTTGCCTGCGTGTCTGCGGATATGCCATTCTGCTACCAGCAAGGTGTGGCACACACACACACACAAGAACACAGTGTGCGTGTAACTTGTCTCTTCAACCTGTGACATTGACCTGCACACATACAAGATCGACAGTCAGATGTACGCACCGACAACTTTGGCTCCGCGCTCAGCAAACGCCAGGGCGTACGCGCGGCCCAAGCCTGTTGTGACCAGCGCGATGTCAAACAAACAAGAACAAGAGCTGTTTTAGTACACACAGCAGAGCTATCAGCACACAACGCCAGCCCTGCTCCAGCATGCACTCACACAAACACAAACACAAACAAACAAACACACAAGCACAACCCCACCATTGCCTGCGCCAGTGATCAGGACCACCCGCCCGTCGAAGCGCAGTGCCGAGGAGGCCATTTTGTGCAATTTTGTCCAAAGATTTGAATGCGCGACGATCAATGCTTGTTTTTCGCTAATCATCGGTGAGTGGCGATGTCGACAAAGCGTTAAAGTTATCCACAGCTTTTCGGAAGTACTCATGGCGCCAAAATCTCAAATTTGGCGTTAGTTTGCGCGCATCGGTTTTGGCGCCACACCATTCGCCAGCCAGTGTGTCTGTGTCTGTTGTGTTGTGTTGGAACAACTGTCGTCGAGGAACGACCACAGAGCCAGAGCCAGAGCCAAGCCAGAGACGGAGACGGAGAACACAAGCCAGCACACAGACAAGCAATGGACAGCAACAAGAGCCCCGTTGCCACCGCATCTGCTGTGCGTAACATGTGCTTGTTCATGTGTGTGCACGAGCATGTGTGTGCGTGATGCGGAACTTGCACCGAGGTGCATCGATGCGAGTGAGGGGTCACATCACCCTTGTGGATGTGTGTGTGTGTGTGTGATCCTTCACAGTCGTGCCATGTACCCATTCCTTTCCGTTTGTTTGTTGGCTCTTATCGCAACGCCTTATGCTCACGCGTTGCGCCCTTGTAGAGTGGTACCATCAAGAAGAAACCGCGCACCCAGGACAAGCCCACCAAGTCCAAAGGCCGCATGTGAGTTTGGATTCAACAGCATACGGGCTGAACGCGTTTGTATGGGTGCAGCATGTGTGTGGTCCAGCTCACAGCACGTTGACCTCACCTTCATCCCAAATCGCACCATTTGTGTGTGTGTGTTTGGGTGGGTGGTGTGCGTATGTGTGTGTGTGGTGTGGGTGTGTGCGTGTGGGTGTGGTTGTGTATGGGTGTGGGTGCTGTGTCTGTCTGTCTCCCTGTCCGTCTTCTGTTTGTGTGTGTCCACCTAGGCCAACACCGCCGCCTGGCCTGACGGAGCGTCAGCTCACCGCATGGTTCAAGAAGCAGAACGAGAAGCGCACAGCCCTCGACAATGTCTTCAAGCGCAACCGCCATGGTGAAACAGCGCTCCACCGTGCCGCCATCAAGGTGTGTGTGTGTGTGAAGGAGATGCGCGAACCCAAGTATGACACACACGCACACCCAAGCAACCAACTACACACACCCAAGCAACCAACCATACACACACACAGACACACGTGTTTGGTTCTACCCTTTGTTACACGTGTGCACAGCATCGCATGATCCACTCAATCAACACGCATGTTCATGCCACCTTACAGAACGACCTTGAGTTTGCGCAAGAGCTGCTCGATCACGGCGCCCCAATTGATGCAAAGGACAATGCAGGGTGCGTGTGCGCGGATGTAGCAATGTGTGGGCGTTGCTGCGATGTGGGTGTTTATGAAATAGGCTGGGCACTACTGTGTTTGGCACGCATCTCCTGGCTACAACCGCTGACTGCTCTGTCTTCCACATGCACAGATGGACACCGCTGCATGAGGCCTGCAATCACGGCCACCTTGAACTTGCAGAGCTCCTGCTGAAAGCAAACGCCAACGTACGTGACAGTTGAACCACCAACACATCAGCTGTCCTTCCTTCCCCAATCCCCCCAAGTTGTGGTCTCCCACCGAGGTGTGTTCTTTCCCCTCCCACCCCCTCACACGAGCTCGTCATGGATGTGTGTGTGTGTGTGTGTGTGTGTGTGTGTGTGTGTGTACAGGTGGATGCGAAAGGGTTTGAGGACATCACGCCCCTGCATGACGCAGCCATGAACGGTCACACGGATGTTGTGAAACTCCTCGTCAAGCACGGTGCCGATCCGGTGCGTGCATCTTGTGTGTGTGTGTGTGTGTCTGTGTGTGTGTGTGTCTGTGTGTGTGTGTGTGTGTGTGTGTGTGTGTGTGTGTGTGTGTGTGATGTCTGCGTCCGACGTCTGTGTGCATCATGTTTGCATCACCGTCTCCGCGAATGGCTTCAACCGCTACCCATTCACCTTTGCGTCTTTTCAACTGCGGTTGTGTCGGCCATCAGACGCTGGAGAACAAGGACGGGCAGACGGCCATCGATCTTGCAGATGAAGAAGAAGACCTGAGGGTGAGGTGTCCGTCAGAGTCGCTTGTCGTGCATGGCTCGTAGATCGTATACGGTGATGGAAGCTTCCACAAGCACTGTCTCGATGCGTGTTCACACCATTGCCCTTGTACTCTCATGCACACACTCACACACGTACATATACAGGATCTGCTCATCTCTGTTGCCCGGGCCAAAGGCAAAGACTTTACCATCTCGTCTCCTGAGCAAAGGTGAGCAAGGGCAAGTGGCACGTGATGGTAGAGCTTATACACGCACACACACGCTCACTCACACACTCATACACACACTCTCTAACACACATACACACACACACACACTCACACACTCACACACTCACTCACACATACTCGCTCCCTCAGGTCGTTGACGCCGGAGAATGATGACGAGTGTGTCGCAGCATCGCCATCGACACTGTTGACAACACCGGACAAGGCGTCCACCACCACCACCACCACGCAGTCGTCATCGCCACAGCGGCAGATGGGCAGCAGCGGAAGCGCAGACACATCGTTCGGCCCACCAAGCAAGAAGGCGGCTGGCGTGACACCACCATCTTCGTCACACCCACAACACGCACAAGAGCAACACCACCACCACCACCACCAGGCAGATGAGACGCCGACATTCACACAGGCGCCGCCCAAGGACGCGCGCACGATCCATCTTCCCCGCCGCAGCAACAAGGCATCACGCTCGCTCGAGCAGCAGCTGGGATCGGCTGTCGACACGCACGAACAGCAGCAGCAGCAGCAGTCGTCCCACCTGCACGTGCTGAAGCCAAAAGTGGTCGTGTTGGCGAAGAGGAAGCAAGGTGAGACGGCAACAACAACAGCAGCAGCGGCGGCGGCAAGCAGTGCTGGTCGCACACACGCGCGCACCAGGCACAACCTGAGGGCACAGGACGAGGTCACGATGCACATGCACGACGACGATGTCGATGATGATTATGACATCGCTGACGATGATGATGATGATGAGGAAGAAGAGTTTGATGATGCACAGAGCGTGGAGATGGTGCAAGGAGTGTTTACCGATGATGAGGTTGCCATTGGCAGTGAGCGCAAGGACAGGGCCCGTGCACCCATGAATCGTGATGCTGAGCAGCCCTCGCATGATGAGGTGGATGTGTCCGACCGTGAACCAAGCAGTGGTGGCACGTCGGGCCGCAGCTCGCCTTCCCAATCGGGAAAGCGGCGCCACGAACCGGACTCGGAGTCCAGCAAGGTCACCATCATGAGTGGACTGCATGGCATCAAGCATTTCATTCTCCGAACGAAGGACCTCATCAAGCGCAGCATTCTCCCTGAAACGGTGCGCTGCCGCCACTGCTGCTGCTGCTGCGTGTGTGTGTGTGTGTGTGTGTGTGTGTGTGTGTGTGTGTGTGTGTGTGTGTGTGTGTGTGTGTGCGTACTGTACCAGCACGAGCACACCTTATAGCGTTGCGTCACCAATTCTGTCCCTCTCCCCTCCCCCCCCCCTTTTCACCCTCGTCGTCACCAGGGTCGCCCTGCTGCGGAGCACACGCGTCTGCCGCCTCGCTATGTGGTGAGTTGATGCTCCAGTCACAGCGTGAGATTGTTCTCGACTTGTTGTACTGCTGGTAACCCATCACCAGCATTCTCTGTGCACACTCGCACACATAGACTCGCATGTTCACACACACACACACACACACACACACACACACGCACGCACGCACACACACACACACACACACGTCCGCACCGTCACGATCACACTTGTCCTGCGGCAGATGAGCTACTTCCCTGTCGCCGCTGAGACGTTTCTGGCGTACAACCCCAAGACGAGCGCAATGGCGGCTGCACAGCAGGAGCTGGAGGAGGAAGTGGTTCCACCCGGTCTCCCAGAGACCAAGCACACCCGTCACGTCAAGCAGGTGCGTGTGTGTGTGTGTGTGTGTGTGTGTGTGTGTGTGTGTGTGAGTGTGTGTGTGTGTGTGTGTGTGTGACCGAACGTGAGGAGATGCACACACGCGGCCTTCCTATGCGTATCCTTAAAGCGCTCCATACAAAGACACACGCGCGTGCAACTGAAGACACCGTCCCTTCCTTCATTTGTGTGTGTGTGTGTGTGTGTGTGTGTGTGTGTGTGTGTGTGTGTGTGTGTGTGTTCAGGTGAAAGAGCGCAACCGCCTGCGCCTGACATATGCGCGGGATTTGGATCGGGTGCGCGGAACATATGAACGCGATGTTCTTGCTGTCATTCGCGCAATCCACGAGTTTGAGGTGAAGCCCCACAGTGGCACTGCTGACAGGTTGTGTGTGGGTGTGGGTGTGTGTGTGGACCCAACGGTTGCGTTGTCTCGGTTCGTGTGGGCTCACGCGCAACAAACGTGCATGTGTGGCTGTGTCTTTGCTCACTCGCAGGAGTATGGCAAGATGGACTGGAACATGGTGCCGTCGTTCTGCTGGGAGGTATGAATCCGGCTGAGATGCGTGAACACGTACATGGCGTGGATATGTCCCTCCCATCCTTTTACCTGTTGCCGTACTGCTGCTGCTGCTGTTGTTGTTGTTGTTGTTGTTGTTGTTGTTGTTGTTGTTGTTGTTGTTGTTGTTGTTGTTGTTGTTGTTGTTGTCGTCATCGTCGTCGTCACTCAACTCGACCACACGCCCGTGTTCTGTTTTGACCTTTCTTCAGATCCGGGAGGAGGACCGCGTTATTGACATTCAAGCGACAATCGCTGCCGTTACCCGCAAGCACCAAGAGGTGACACGATGCTTGTGTTTGTATGATTCTATTTGTGTTGTGGCTGTCCATACAGCTCACAAACGTTCACACACACACACACACACACACATACCACGCACATGCGCGCGCGCACTTGCTCACTCACGTTCCGGACGTTCACACACCACAGCTGCTGGATGCGACGTTTGGGCACAACCACGCACGTGCAGTCACGCTGTACGACTGCCAGTGCATGGGCTGGCCAGCGGCGTTTGTGTCGTGCATCTGTCAGGTCGACATTCGGAGACACGTGCTCGCCATGCCCTGACCTCGCGCCATCCATGCCTGGGACGGCTGACGACTGCTGACCTGACGTGATGTGACGTGTTGTGGTGATGTGATTATGCGACGTGATTGTGCGAAAACTTGTGAGTGATTGTTTGTCGAGTCGAGATTCCCACGACCAGCATCGTCATTCCTGTCGTCACCTCTCACGTGCATCGCACCTGTAGAGATCAACAGGTTGTGTCGTTTGTTGGGCGCTCTGCAACCCCCCTCCCCTCTCTTGACCTTGTCTTCCCCTTCATCCTCAACTCCACCACGATTGATTTGTTCATGCCCACTACTGCTTGATTGAACTGTTGCGTTTTAGTCGCCATTACACCGAAATACCAAGCGAAAACGCACACACGCGCACACGTGAAAGGCAAACACAAAAGGGCGAGACAGAACTTTCGAGACGCACACACACACACACACACACACACACACACACACACACACACACACACACACACACACACACACACACACACACACACACACACACACACACACACACACACACACAGGCTCAGCGGCGATAGCGACGGCGACGGAATCGGAAGTAGAGCTCAAACACGTTGTGATGTGTAAACTGGCACCTGTGTGGAGGGCAGGACACAGAGAAGGGATGCGTATCAGAGGCGTCAAAGCAAATACCGTCACACACACACACACACACACACACACACACACACACCTGTATCCGGACTTGCGCCCGTGGAGCCAGGGGTTGTCGATGACCTTGAACGCCACGTCCTCATACGGCGGGCCGGCGTGGAAGCGAATCATGCAGAAACCAGGCTCGTTTGGAAGCTTCTCAATCGTAAACGTCGGTGTCTGCGACTTGTCAATGAGATCTGGATAGAAGATGTTGAACTTGTAACCTGCACACAGATAGAGAGAGAGAGAGACGTACACACGCACACGCGCACATGAACACAGGGACACATGCATCGTCGTGGTTTTGGTGAGAGGGAGAAGGATGAAGAAGCAACGGTGATGCTGAAGTGTAGGGTGGCCAGCAACGACCCCATTTGGCCGCATCGCAAGACCAAAAGCAGGCAGCATAGCGCCACTGCTATGATGACAGGCGCAAACACACACACACGCACACACACACATACACACAGACACAGACACAAACACAAACACAAACACAAACACAAACACAAACACAAACACAAACACACACACACAAACACAAACACAAACACACACATGCACAAACACAAGCACAAACACACAAACACAAACACAAACACAAACACAAACACAAACACACACAAAATCACAACGCGACTGTGCTGCCTCACCTTGCACCATCTTGGGCGGTGGGTTCTGCTTGTCGTAGTGGGTGCGGTTATACTCGTTCCAGTCGAAACCCGTAAACACGCGGTTGAAGTAGCGCGGTTTGCGCGGTCGGTACTTGTCCCGCCAGAGGTAGTCCCCGCTTCCCTCTGCAAAGATGACAAGGATGGCAATGACGGTGACAATGTGTGAGTGCGAAGATGTGCATGAGTGTGTGAATGTGAAGATGCGTGTGTGTGTGTGTGCGTGTGTGTGTGTGTGTGTGTGTGTGTGTAGGTGAGTGTGAAGATGCGTATGAGTGTGTGTGTGTGTGCACGAGCGCGCATGTGTGAGCAGGAAGCATGCTAAGGAGGCATGCAAGAAACCTGCACCTCAGAAACGTGCACCACCATCACCATCACCATCACCACCATCACCAACGCCACCATCGATCGCACCAAGGTCGAGCTCGTCGGCGAACGTCTCTTGCTCCTCATCCTCGTCGGCCTCGTTCTGAGCGCGCGCCTTGGCAAGGAACTCCTGCTCCCGCGTGGACAGCCCGCGCGCAAGCTGCACCCAACGTGGTGGTGGCCGTGATGGCCGTGGTGAGTGCGGGAAGAGTGGAGAACCACAACAAGGGATAACCAAAGACACATTCGCACGAGCGCACACAAACTCACACACAATACACGCACGCACACGCACACGCACACGCACACGCACACGCACACGCACACGCACACGCACACAAAACTCACACACCACGAACACGAACTACACAAACCCATACACAATGCACACACACACACACACACGTCACAAGAACACAATAGGAACAAACCTGGTTCTTGCAAAAGTCTGGATGGAGCTCGCCCTGGCGCCCTGCCTTGATCATCATCAGCACCACCTTACGCAAGACAAGGTCCTGCGCGTCCATCTGCTGTTGCGTCACGACAGCACTTGCTGCGTATTTCGCCATCAACCGATCATCATCATCCTCCTCCAATGGAACCTCAAACGGCACCGGACTAAACGCCCGGGTAGAGGCGCCCTTGTCCGCTTCGGAAAGCTCGTCGGCAAACAGGTCCACTTCCTCCTCGCCCTCCTGTCCTTGCTGCTGTCCTTCCACGCCGCGCTGTCCAGACACAACATCCTCCTCCGCCGCCTCCGTCTGCTGCTTGTACAGAATGCGCAGCTTGTGTTGCAGCAGCTCCTTGTGCTTCTCGCGAAGACGCGCCTTGGCAAACTCAACCTGCGGTATTCATGTTGTGTGTGTGTGTGTGTATTTGAGTGTGTGTGTGAGGGTGTGTGTATGAAAGTGTGTGAGGGTGTACATGTGGAGCTGTTGCTGTTGTTCTTGTGCACCGTCTGACCCCCCTTGTCCGCACTCAACAACAACAACAACAAGCCCAACACACACACACGCACACGCACACCACCCGACCTTGAGTTGACGAAGAAGCGTCTCCCAATACCCGACATCCAGCGTCTCCTTGGACTTGAGTTTCGTCTTGATGTGCCGCTCGAGCTCCAGCAGCTGGTTCAGCGTCTTGTTCGCAAAGATGGCCATAATGTCCTGCTTCACGCGTGCGTTGATGCCTGCAGGCAATGGTGGATATGATGGAGAGGAGGTGAACATGTCAAAGGGCGATTGAGGGGAATGAGCATGAGCTGGCGTTAGCAGGGATTGGGTTCCAAAGTCGGATATGGACAAGCACGGCACGTCACCTTCAACAACACACACACACACCCTCACACACACCCTCACACACACACGCACACACACACACACACACACACACACACACGCACACACACACGCACACACACACGCACACGCGCACACACGCACACACGCACACACACACGCACACACACACACGCACACACAAGGCTAACCACATGTATCACCTGTCTCGAGGGCACGGCGCTCGGCAGCAGAGAGAGAAGTGTCTTCCATGGCACGCTGCCGATACAGCTCCTTGAGGGTGTGGTCACAAATGAGCGCAATGTCCTCCCAAAACGCCCTGTTCTCCTCCATGTGCCCTTCCAGCCGCAGGTACACCTTGATGTCTTCCTTCAGCGCCTCGCACGCCTCCAGCGACATGGTGTCGAAGATGGTGTACGGCTCGTGCTGGTCAATATCCGGGTCGTCGCGGTCCGTGTGGATGTACTTGGCCAGGAGATCAACGGGCTTTGCTCGCCCCGCACGCAGGCGGAGCTCCGAGCGAAGGCGGGCCTGCTTCAGCACAAACAGCTCCTCTTGGTCAGCCCACTCGCCAAACTGGGCGTCGTCTTGCGCGCGCAGCATCTGGTCGCGCTCGCGCATGCGCTGCTCTCGGTCGATCTCGGCCTGCTCGCGTCGCCGCTTGATCTGCTCAATCTCGCGCTGGTTCTCCTCCGCACGCTCGCGTTCAAGACGGGCAAGCTCCTCCCGCGACATGCCCTGCTCCTCTGCGGCCTCCACCTTCTTGTGCCACACAAAGCGGCCAGACTCCTCGGCACCCTGAACGACGTCCAAACCACCCTGGGCAAGCTTGGCCTTCTTTCGCTCGGCCTTGCGCTCCTTCTTCGCCAAGCGCCGTGCACGCTTCTCCTCGGGCGTCTCCGTCATCTTCATGCGCTGCTTCTCCTGCTTGCGAAGCTCGCGCTCGCGCCGCTTCATTTCCAGCAGCCGCCTGCGGGCCTCCTCATCGTCGCGCCTGTCGTCGCGGCGGTGGCGGTCCCGTCGGCCGCCCCTGCGGTAGTCGTTGTTGTCGTTGTTGTCGTTGTTGCCATCATCACTGTAGCGGCGGTGCCGTCGGCGTCGGTCTGGCGAGCGCGTACGCGACCTTGAACGAGTGCGAGACCTGGACCTGGATCGAGATCGTGAACGGCGGCCGCCGCGGCGCCGACCGCGATCACGTCTGTCGCCGTCTTCATCGCTGCTGCCATGCGATGATGAGTCCTCGTCACTGCTGTACTTGCGGCTGCGCTTCTTGTGTTTCTTCTTGCTCTTCTTGCTGTGGCGGCGCCGGCTGTCGTCCTTCAGCACATCACCCTCTCTTCCATCCCGCTCGTCGTCGTCACTGCGGTGGCGCCGCCGTCGCCACTCATCATCATCATCACTATCCCCATCCCGGCGACGTGAGCTCATCTCCCCTGTTCCTGCGTGCTTGTGGTGTGGTCGTGGTTGTGGGTGCTTGTGTTGTTGTGTGCGTTCGCTTGTTCGCTAGCTTGCGCTTGCCCGTATTGGTTATGGAAGATTTGTTGATGTGCCAGCCATTAATCTTTCGAAGCGGAATGAGAGGCAGGGACTTGCTGCACGCTGTTCGTCGTGTACTGCTTGGCAGCAGCAGCAGCAGTAGCCGTCATGCTGGGAGTGCTGGCAGTGGCTTGACGGTTGAGGAGGTCAGTGTCGCTGCTCGTGAGATTGTCTACCATGTGCTTGGAACGCGTGCATCCAGCTCCTGCGAGATGGAAGTCACGCCAGAGCAGCAGGAGCGCGCACACTCGCTAGCCCATCGCCGTGCATGCAGGTGGCGTGTCGCTTGATCCAAACGATGCTTCTTCCGCCACGTGTACATGCGTAGCTGTGCATATGCCCAGTACTTGCAAATGAATGAACACGGGTCGTCTGTGTGTGTGTGCGTGTGTGCTTGTGTGCGTGTGTGCGTGTGTGTGTGTATATGTGTGTGGGTGTCTCTATCTGTGCTTGCTCATCTGCAGCCTCGCTGTCACGTCTGGTGTGGCAGGGAGCCGCTGCAGTATGTGTTGGGCGAGTGGGACTTTCGGGACCAAACTTTGACCATGCGTTCGCCTGTTCTCATCCCACGACCAGAGACGGAGGTGCGCTTTCAGGGACAAGACTCTCGCTGCTTCATGTCCCTTGCGCCACTCATGTGCTGCAGGACCAAACGAAAGCGACTGTCCATGCTCACGATGCATTGATGTCACTGGCAGGTACTCGTTGACTTGATTCAGCGTAAGCTAAGGCAACAGCACGGTCTACACTTTCTCGAGATTGGCGTGGGATCTGGTGCAATCAGTTTGTCCCTGCTGCATGAGAACCCGTCTTGGACTGCAACTGGCATTGACTTGGATGACGCCGCGATTCAGCTCACGCAGCACAACGCCAGCAGGTGCCGCCTACTCCCTTCTGTGTGTGTGTGTGTGTGTGTGTGTGTGTGTATGTGTGCGTCTGTGCGCGCGTGTGTGTGTGCGTGTGTGTGTGTGTGTGTGTGTGTGCGTGTGCGTGTGTGTGTATGTGTGTGTGTGCGTGTGCGTATGTGTGTATGTGTGTGTGTACCTGCGTACATGCGTGCGTGTGTGTGTATGTGTGTACGTGCGCACATGTGTGTGCGTGTCTACGTGTCCACCAGTCTGCCCGTCTGTTGTAGCGGCCCGTGCCCTTCGGCCATGTGTTCAGTCGCCTCACTCGTGACTCGCTCCGTCTCCGCCCTCTTCAACCGTGACCAATAATGAGTGCAGATGTGGCGTGGCAGACCGCCTGACGCTGCACAAACAGGACATCACCACCGCCACGCCATCATCGCCGTGCTTCTCATCGGGGCCCTTCGACTTTGTTGTCTCAAACCCACCCTACATCCGCCGTGATGAAATGCCAAAACTAGCTCCCGAACTGCGGTGAGTGTGGTGTGTGTTGACGTGAGGGTGGGTGCGTCTGTGTGTGTATGTGTATGTGTGTGTGTGAGTTTCTGTGTGAGTGTATGTGTGTGTATGTGTGCGCGCGCGCATTTCTGTGTTTCTGTCGATATATGTTCATATGTGGTACCATCACACACCGTTTTTCCCCTTGCTCACACATACACATACACATACACATACACATACACATACACATACACATACACATACACATACACATACACATACTCATACACACACGTGTGTGCTTTGCACAGATACGAGAATGATATGGCCCTGTGCGGCGGAGAAGACGGGTTGGATGTTACGCGCGCCATTCTTGATATTGCACCGCACATCATCAGCCGCACTGGTGGTGCAAGGTGTGTACCCGTACTTTGGTGCTGCTGCTGCGGCCATTTGACATGGTGTGGCTAGCAAGCAACTCACGACGTTTCTTCTCTGCGTGCACATGCTGTTGTTCGTCACGTTCACCTTCCAGGCAGTTGTGGTTGGAGCTGTCGCCTCCGCAGTGTTCTGCCGTGGCAAGGTATGGTGTGTGTGTGTGTGTGTGTGTGTGTGTGTGTGTGTGTGTGCGTGTGTGTGTGTGTGTGTGTGTGTGTGTGTGTGTGTGTGTGTGTGTGCGCGCGTGTGTGTTTGTGTGTGTGTGTGTGCTTGCGTGCGTTTGTGTGTCGTATTCTTACACCGATTCCCCTTCCCCTCCCCATGCACTCTGTATTCCCGGTCGCAAACGCTACGGTTGCAGGCTTGTACCACCTGGTTGTGTGTTGCATGTGCACTTGGATCAGTATGGGCATGAGCGGTTTGTGCAAGTCAACTTATGGGATGGCTGATGAGGAGCGAGGAGGAGTGGGATCCGGTGGGGAGGTGCGGGCGGGGCCGAGTGAACACGACATGATGTCGTGCATCTGACATCGTGACATATGTGCGATGCGATGTTGTGAGTGAGATGTGATTTGATGAAAATAAAGCGCCTCAATTAAATGGCTGTCGTGTTGTATTTGCGTTCAGCTTTCACTCGTGACAGAGAGGTAGTCGTGTTGTTGGTTTTATGGTTCGTCGGGGTTAACGGACAACGCAGTGCGAGCAACTGAAGACTGCGCGCGCGCGCGCGCGTGTGTGTGTGTGTGTGTGCGTGTGCGTGCGTGCGTGTGTTGTGCGTGTGCGTGTGCGTGTGCGTGAAGGAGGGAGAACGATGACCAACATGGATGCGTCTCGCTGCCATCGGTTTTGTTTATCGGTCGTGGTTGTGGTGATGGTCGTGCTGTTGGCATCAGCTGTAGTGACAGCTGCCACCTCACATCGACGTGAGCACCGACCAAGCGTCCACGTATGCCTTGCGGGGCTCGTGTGTGTACGGGCTCGTGCCGTGTGCAAAGATGATCTTGTCAAACGCCCATCGCTGCAGCCATGTTTCGGGTAAGTGCATGTGAGTGCACGTGCGTGTGTAGGTGCACGCATGCGTGTATACGTGCGCGTGCGAAGTGTCGCAACATGGAAAACCGAAGTTGATACTCACACGCAATCCCCTCCCGCTCGTTCCTCCCCTCTATTTCCTCCCTGTTCGCTTCTCGCACCTGTGCAATGTCTTTGACGCAGGCGATGAGCTTGCCCCTGTCACCGTGCGAAATGACGCGGCTTGTGCGGTAGATGGGCAGGGTTGCGCTGCGGAACGCCTTCTTCGTCAGCTTGAACCACAGCCGCCCGAACCACGAGGGCGACTCGTCCTGGGTGGTGATGGAGGCGTTGGTTGGGGAGTGGGCGTGTGGATGGTGGTGGCGAGTGGCTCGGAACGATGAGCAGGCAATGGGCATGTGAGGATGGTCAGGGGAAGGTCAGGTGATGGCAGGGGGCGGCAGTGATGGTGGTGACAAGGGTTGGGGAAGGGGGGGGGGGCGGCACAAACATGCTGAGGCCCGAGCCCGAGGCCCGAGCCGGGAGCGGGCACGAAGCAGCAGCCACCTTCGCATCGCATCGACCAACACCAGCCAGCACGCGACTGCCGACCTGTGCATATCCGCCGTAGAAGCTGTCGCTTGCAACGAGGGTGTGGGATGGCGCGTGGAAGAAGACAACTTCGTTCATGTTGAGCGGCGCCCCGAGCAGCAGCTGCTGATCAAGGTGCGGTCCAAGCTGAGTGGTGCGGTTGGATATGGGGTTGATTGGTGTGGTAGTGTGGATTCGGTGCTTGTTGTGAGTGACGATGTGGTGTGATGGCTTGGTTCTGCTGAACGTTGATGGGAAGGGATGAGTGGTGTGAGTGCGATGATGTTTACGCGATGGTGGCAGCAGGTGCAGGATCACATTCACTCCTATACAGCACAACTTACCCCCTTTCACTCCCACCTTTCCTTCCACCCTTCCATCCTTGCTTCCACCGCCAATTGCCAACACACCTGGTGCCCGCTCTCCTCCAGCACGACCCATTCGCTCTTTGGCTGAGGCAGCGACTCTGGCGTGTGGTCTGTCAGCTTCGTCTCAAGATCCTCTCCGAGCGCGCTCGGTGCAAGGTAGATCTTGGCATCTGGGTACGCCTGCGCCCACTTGGGCAGGAACAGCCAATGCTGCACTCATTGCATCGTGTGTGTGTGTGTGTGTGTGTGTGTGTGTGTGTGTGTGTGTGTGTGTGTGTGTGTGTGTGTGTGTGTGTGTGTGTGTGGTGTAGTGTAGTGTAGTGTAGTGTAGTGTAGTGTAGTGTAGTGTAGTGTAGTGTAGTGTAGTGTAGTGTAGTGTAGTGTTGTGTTGTGTGTGCGTGCAGTGTGTGTGTGTGTGTAGCATGTGTGTAGTGTGTGGTGTTGTGAACACACCCAGCCGCACCACAGCTCCACACTGCCACGCACGCCAGCGAGTGTTGCGTGCAAAGCACCTGAAGGTTGCTAGCGACGATGGCCTCCACGATCCCGAGGGCGTCAATCTGTCAGTAACATGCCCGTGGCAGTGGTGCAGGCGTGCGGCCAGTCAGTGGATTGCCTTTGAAATGACTTTATGCACCTCAACATGCCTGTGCCTCTGTGTGTGTGTGTGTGTGTGTGTGTGTGTGTGTGTGTGTGTGTGTGTGTGTGTGTGTGTGTGTGTGTGGTTGCGGCAATGCTTACTGATACACACCTGCTTGCGCACTTCCTCATCGAATGGTGTTGGAGAAAGCAGGGCCAGCTGTTTGTCGCCGTTGCCAGTCCTGGTGTTGTCATCACATATGAGAGACAGAAGAAGAGGCATGCGCGCAAACAGACAAACAGACAGACAGATAGACACACACACATACACACACATACACACACATAGACGAACACACACATGCACACACACACACATACACATACGTTGCAATGCCCATGGTCGTGTCGAGGACAAAGGGGAGCTCGTCACCGTCCATGAGACGCTGCACCATGGCGCGTTCCTCCGCCAGCTGCTCCTTGGTCGACTCGTTGTGCTCGCCCTCCTGCAGCCGCTGGTCCTGCAGTCCATCGCTGAGGAGGGACAGCATCCGATCACGCAGGCCAGCCCACTTCAGGCCTTCCGTCTGGCCCTCGCCGAGGTGGAAGTGCCCACGCACCATCCACATGCCCTCGCCAAGGGCCAGCACACGCTGGAACACACCCGCACGAGCCTCCATACTAGCAACACAGTCCAGTCCGTCAGTGAAGCAAGCAAGCGAGGCAGTCGATCCTGGTGTTGTTGATGGATTGAGCAATCGCGAAAGCGCAAAAACACACACACACACACACACACACGTGTTCAGAAAGACAGCCAACCCTTTCTCTCTCGCCAACACACACCAACACGCACGCACGCACGCTGGCGTCATGGCAAAGCCCAAGGTGAAGGCGAGCATCAAGGCGCAGAAGAAGAAGAAGAAGACGCCAGTGCATCCAGAGTCGAGGAAAGCAAAGCGCATGAACAAGCAGTACCTTCGCAAGGCCAAACTCACAGAGTGCGTCTGTGTGTGTGTGTGTGTGTGTGTGTGTGTGTGTCTGTGTCTGTGTGTGTGTGTGTGTCTGTGTGTCTGTGTGCGATGCACGTTGCTGTTGCGTGATTAAACCCGCAACATCGCCGTCTCCTTGGTCATCATTCGGGCCTGTGATCGCATGCTCTTTCCTCACAACGACCGCCTTCCACCACCTCCACCACCTCCACCACCTGTTGACAGCCAACGACGATCTGCCAACTTCAAGCAGTTCAAGAAAGGTATCGACATCCTGTGGTTCCGCCAACGCATTTCGAACCACACGCGTGCCCTCACACAGGATCAGCTCAGACAGCTCACACAAGAGTAAGGAGTGTGTGTGCGTGTGTGTGCGTGTGTGTTTGTGTGTTGATGTGTGTCTGTGTGTTCGTATGTGTGTGTCCGTGTGTGCTTTCCCCTTGTCTCGTTGCTTGCGCTGGATGCCATGGTTGTTGATCGCGCTCACCTTGGCTTGCACGCTCCACGCAGATATGTCAAGCGCTTTGATGATGAGATTGCAGCACTCGAGCGGCAGAACGTAAGATATTGGCTCCCTCAGCTGTGTGTTGATGTTGTGTTCACGTGTATTTGTGTTAGTTAACGTGTGTGTGTGTGTGTAAGCACGCCTCACACCTTGCCATCGAACCCTCGATGTACAGCTGCCTTGGTTGTTCCTTGCACGCGTCATCACTCTAGCACACCCACCGCATCCGCGCCATGCGTGCATGTGTATGTGTGCACATGTAGAAATCGAAGCACCGCCAGATGATGTTGAGTGAGCGCTCCTCGCACGAAAAGAGCCTGTTCCAAAGCACATATGGCATCACCGTGCCTGATCTTACCGACCCCGAGAACGTCCGCAAGCTATTGTGCGTACCTGCATCACGTAGCTCGCTGCCTGTGCGTGTGCGTGTGTGTGTCTGTGTGTCTATGTGTGCGTGCGTGTGCGTGTGTCTGTGTGTCTGTGTGTGCGTGTGTGTGTATGTACGTCACACGTACACGCATGCACACGCACAGGTGTTGACTCACTCACTCACTCACTCACTCACTCACTCACTCACTCACTCACTCACTCACTCACTCACTCACTCACTCACTCACTCACTCACTCACTCACTCACTCACTCACGCGTACGCTCACTCACGCACGCGTACACTCACTCACGCACGCGTACACACACACACACACTCACACTCACTCACGCACATACGAGGGTGCAGGGATGGGAAGGTCAACTGGATGCAATCAAAGGCATCAAGCATACTTCCATTAAGCAGTAGTTATCATTCCCACACACAAACACCCTTTCCCTCCTCTATGTTCATAAGAAGCCAATTGACACATACACACACACATACACACATACACACACACATACACACACACATACATGCAGCGTCATTGCAAGTCCTTTTCCCCTCCCCTCCCCCGAGTTCCCAAGCATTCTTTGCCCAGACTGCAACATGATGATGATGGTGGTTTATTTGTTTGGGCTGCCATAAACGCATTCATCGCCACCGCGCCAAGCCCCGTCATGTCACTACTCCTCTCGACTCAACACATGATCACAGGGTCAAATCACTCATTCAGCGTCACTTATGTGAGGCGCAAGCAACTATCATAGAAGCATGGAAAATAACACCAGAAGAAGAAAGAAGCACGAGAGCGCACGGAGTGTCACTCGCACCAAGTATCACAGCACATCAATCCTGAAATCGAACACCACTCCCAACCCCCGCATGTACGCATGCACGCATGCACGGACGCACTCTGCCTCATTCACACACACACACACACACACACACTCTCTCTCTCTCTCTCTCTCTCTCTCTCTCTCTCTCTCTCTCTCTCTCTCTCTCTCTCTCTCTCTCTCTCTCAACACTGGCATGTGCATGCAGGCTCTCCTACGCATCCATGCACGCACACTGTCGCACGCATCACACATTTCCACATACTTACACACACGCGTTCGCCATTTTCTCTCGCAAGGATTCTCGTTCCAACTCCAACGTGTCAGCATTCGCCCGCCACTGCCACTGACACCACCGCCTCCTCCTCCCTCGCTCGGGATGTCGCAGCTGCATCTGATACCGGTGTCGTGCTTGCAGGCACGCCTGTCTTCTCATCAGCTGTCCTTGCAGTGACTTGGGCTTTGGTTTCTCCTTCAACCGCAGCATCTGCCGTGGGGCGTGATGTCTCCGCACGCCCACGCGGTGGTGTCTTTGCCACGCCCACCCCACGTGCATGCTGTGGTGGCGATGATGATGATGACGATGATGACGAGGGTGGTGGTGATGGTGGCGGCTGCATGTGCACACCACCATTTCTAGGGCCAACAGTGCCCCCCGCTTGTGTGCCCCTGACATGCGTCTCTTCCGTTGCTGTGTGTACCACTGCTGCTGTTGCTGCTGCTGGTGTTGTTGTTGCTGGTGTTGTTGCGACTAGCATGTCGTGTTCACCCATCAACCCCCCGCTCTCTCCTCCACGTAAAGCAGCCTCACCACCGCTTCTCCTGCTGCTGCTGCTGCTGCTGCTGCTGCTGCTGCTGCTGCTGCTTGCATTGTTGGTGGTGGCGGTGGCCGCTGTGGTTGTGGCGGTGCCATTGCCCAACGAGCTGCCACCATCACCACCATGACCACCATTGCCACTGCGAGCATGACTGCCTCGTGTTCCCTGGGAAGCGCCACGCCTCCGCTGCCGCACGCCACCAGACGACGACGATGATGATGGCGATGGCGATGGTGGCCGCTGTGGAGATGTGCGGCGCTGGCTGTCTGCTCGCCTCCGCAGTCGCGCGTACTTGAGGTTTCGCTTTGCAATCTTCACATTGCACATACACACACACATACACACGTATACAGACACATACACGCACACACACACGCACACATGCGCAACGACTCGTTAGAGTTTGTCGCAACAGGACAATGGACAACTAACAACCGAGTAACGTGGCTGCGACACGACTTACACCCAACCAACCAACCAACCAACCAACCAACCAACCGAGCGCGTACCTGTTGAAGCTTGAGTCGAAACCACCACGGGTTGAGGTACATGGTGAGGATAACAAGACCGCAACAGATGAACGCCAGCGGGAGAAAAGGGCCACCCAGGAACCTGCACACCGGTGGCAGTGCACACGGAAGCATGGTCGCATTTGCAGAGGGTGGAAAGAGGCATGTGTCATGCGTTCATGATGAGCGTTACAACAGCTACAGCCACACGTACACACGTACACGTGCACGAGACAATCACGACAACGACAGCAACAACAACAAACACACTCATATACAACCAAGTCACGCAAGCACATCATCACCAAAAGCACGCGCACACTATGCAAACACACTCAAGTACAGGGTACACGCAAGGCATGCGTCAGCGCACCCATAAGGGAGATTGCTGAGGATGTGGAGCCAGACGTAGAGGTCGCAACCTTCGCGAAACACAAACCACACCCCAATCAATATATACTGCGCAAACACAGCAACGCACGTCACGCAACAAAGGTATGAGCGTCACGGTGTGAGGAGGAAGGAACACGCGTGCGTGCGTTTTATCGCACACACGTAAATACAAGAATACAGACCCATGCTCACACCTGGTTGATGTCCCATATGAGGTCCTTATCACGGCCTTGCTTGGCAAGCATCCACCCAATGTGCGTGAAAGGCGAGTGCAGCTCCTGAAACAACACACAACAGAAACGCAGAGGCAGCGCAAAGGAGGCTATGATGAGGTGGACCAGCAGCGAGGGGGTGCACACACACCCACATGCACATGAACACGCACCCACATCACACTCACATACACACACGCACATGCATGAACACGCAAATTCACATGAACAAACACATAAACACACATTCACACACATATAAACACACACACGCACGCGCGCGCACCTCGATGAGGACGACGCAGGCGACGTAGAGATAGGAGCGCGTGGAGAGGGTGAGGAAGTAGAGAACAATGCCCAGCATGTGATGCACAATCAACGTCTCCCCCTTGACGTTGTGTGCCAGATACATGTTGAGGGAGTCGCGTGTCTCGAAGATGAAGAATCCTGCGGCCAGCCACGTGAGCACGCACAGTGAGCGAGAGAAGGAGTGCACAAGGACCAAGACAAGGAGTGCAAGGGACACAGGGCGGTGCGCCGAATGACGTTTGACACATGCGCAAGATCGGAGGAATCGTTTGTGAAGCGAAACATTGCGATCAGTTGTACACAGAAACTGTGGTGTTGAGAGTGATGGATGTGTGTGCAGAGTGCTCTTGGTCTCGACAATGCAGACATGATGATGAGCAACGAGCAACGCACCGAGCGCAAACGATGCCGTGTGAGTGAGGAGATCAGTTGCCCCATAAACGGCTCCGCCTTCTTCAGGAACGCCTTCAAGCAGCACGCGAAAGCCCATGAAGCTGAGCAGTGTGCCCAGGATGGCCCGGTTGATGCCTGCGTTCTAATGTTGGCAAGGTCGTTCGTTGAGGTGCGACGGGATGGGTGTGGTATTCGTGTCAGTTGCATCACCTGCACAAGCGAAACCGGACCTACAAAACCAAGACAGGCGACGGGCCTTACACAGCACAGCACACACACACACACACACACACACACACACACAACCCACGAACTGCTCAAGCATTAGGCACAAGCTCTGCGGACTCCTCACCCATTTCTGCTGATCCAGTGGGTTCAGCCGGTTGTATGTCTAGTTGAGGGTGAGAAGCCAATGAGCAAGGTGTTCAAGGCAACAATGAGTTGCAAGCACCAACAAGGTTACATGGTCGCACGTCAGGTCCACCATCCTCAACAACACCAAGCACGCTCGAGGCGGCACTGGGACCTTGGAGAGGTTGCGCGAGATGACACCCGATGCCATGGACAGGAGAGAGGACAAGGCAAAGCTGGAGATGAACGCTGCCGCGATCGTGGGAACCCCGAGCTTCTCTAGAACCGCAAACATGGCGACAAACACGTGAGAAATCAAATACACACGCGCACACGCACATGTGCACCTTGTCATATGAGTGTGGCGTGTTTTGATGTTGTCTTCGAGCTGGGTCCAACGCAGTGCGGAACCACTGCGTTGTTGCGGTGACACTGACGTGCTGCAACATGATTGTGATTCGATGATGTGCGACGAGGCGTGCGCCACAGCGAGGCTTGCGTTCACCATGATTCCACTTCCTCAGACAAAACAGGATGTAAACTCAAGGACCTTTGCCTTCATGTCCTCTGCTAGCTGGACGCTCCCACCAAGCAACACCACTACCAACCACACAGTCATACACCCACACGCACCCGAAAGAAGGCGAAACAGGTTCAGCGGCACGTCCTCCATCGTCATCGTGGTTGTTGCCGCCAGAAATGCTCATGTCACTACTGTTTATGATGTCTGCTATCCGTGTAGTGTGTGTGTGTGTGTGTGTGTGTGTGTGTGTGTGTGTGTGTGTGTGTGTGTGTGTGTGTGTGTGTGTGTGTGTGTGTGTGCCTGTGTGTGTGCGCGCGCCTGCCTGTGTGTGTGTGTGTGTGTGTGTGTGTGTGTGTGCCTGCCTGTGTGTGTCTGTGTCTCTCCCTCTCTCTGTCTCTCTGTTTCTCTCTGTCACTCTCTCCCTCTGTCTCTGTCTCTCTCTCTGTGAAAGCGAGCCCAACGAACGTTCATCTGTCATCATCAGTCGTGTGCATGCACACCTCTGCAGCTTGACACTTCATTGGCCAGTGCGACACACCAAGACACCACCATCGCTCGTCATAGCAGCTTGTGTTTGACAGCGTGTGAGCCACGCTGGTAAGTCACGAGCACAGCGGCAGCCACCACCCACGCACTGCACAGCCACACGTGGAACGCATCATGCCACACTACACGCAGCACCGGTGCCCTACATAAACACGTGTGTGTGTGTGTGTGTGTGTGTGTGTGTGTGTGTGTGTGTGTGTGTGTGTGTGTGTGTGTGTGTGTGTGTGTGTATGTGTGTGTGTGTGTGTGTGTGTGTGTAGGTGAGCATTTGGATCTGACCTTCATTGTGCATGCGTTGATACACGAAACACAACTAAACAACCATGCAAACAAGCACACACACACACACTTACTGCCGGTATCGGGCGCGGGCGACAATATGTGCAACATCCTCCAGCACCAGCGGAACCAAACATAGCCACACCCTGAGGGCCACGATGCAGGGAGTTAGTGTGCACGCACACATTGAAGTCTGTTGCCGCAAGGCCAAAACACACAGACACAGAGACACACACAAGCACACGCACGCACGCGCACACACACACACACACACGCATAGCATACACGCACGCACACATATCCACAGTCAAGCAGTCACACACATAAACGCATGCACAATTCCTTACGTGATGAGGTGCAATGTGTTGTCATGGGCAAAAGTGCCATCCTCGCCGCTCAAGGCAGGGAAGCAGCAGCAGCAGAGAACAGCAAGGCCACACAGCCACCCGAGGAACGGGTATGCAAACATCACAGCCAGGACAGCAATCATCGCAGCCAGCTGCAGCCGTGAGTTTTCTCTTGGACCGCGGACCGAGGGTGCGGTGGGTGCCATATACTCTGCGTCGTCGTCGTCGTCGTCGTCGTCGTCGTCGTCGTTCTGCACGTCACCATCCGTGCTTCTCTTTGCTGCTGCTGACCCACGTTGTGTGACAGCACGAGCGATACAGGACACGGCGTACAGGAGCGGCTGCACAATCCCGTACACTGCAGCCCAGATGGTGCCGGTCAGCGTCACGGATGCAACGCAGCCCCACGCAAACAGCTTCACGCGGTCGTCGTGGTTGCTTTGCTCGTCCGTCTCTGCTGCTACAAATACAGAAACGCCAACCACACCCGTAATGCACGTTGCCAGAAACGTACGTCCTGCAACACACACCCACACACGCGGTGTCAGAATACAGAGACACACGTGTGCAGATACATGTGTGCAGGTAGGCACACAGCGAACGAGCGTGCACGCAAGTGAGTTGAAGCTTGTCTTCGTGCAGATGAAACAGGACATGGGCGAAGAAGCATGCGCCAAGCCATGCCGAGTTTATGTGTGTGCGTGTGTGTGTGTGCGTGTGTGTGTGCGTGTGTGTGTGTGCAGCCATTGAAGATGTCGCACCATTGGAGCGAGGGGAGATGAGCTTGAGGAGGAGCGTTGCCGTGGCGAAGACGCACACAAACACGGGCACGACATGCAGGACTCGCTGGACGTTCTGCAGGGCGACAAAGCAGAGATTGTATGAGGCGAAACATGCAGCGTCATGCGAGGGCAACACAATGAGTGAGTGAGTGAGTGAGAGACATGCGCCAATGCACACACACACACGCATGCACACACACACACATGCACACGCGCGCGCGCAAACATGCATGCACGCACAAACGCATGAGCGTCCACGTTTGCAGAGCAACACATAACGGATCGCGCGGGCCCAAAAGGCGCAGCGACTCACGTGAGCAAACGACTGCACGATGTTGATGTGCGTGCGGATGTGATAGCGAGGGGAGGTGCCAGCGTCGCGCGAATTGGAAAAGACGAGCACTTGCAGCGGAGCCGACGACGCGAGGGGAAACTCATCCTGCAGACACGGTCGTGTGAGGGAATACGTGGCGGTAGGACAGAGCATGCACAAGGCGCACAAAAGAGCGTGTGCGTGCGTGCGTGCGTGCGTGTGTGTATGTGACAGGAAGGCGGGAAGACAGAGCAAGGTGGGCAGAGGAGGAAAAGGAAGCGCAGTAGCAGCAACACCGCACAGTGGGTTGAATATCACAGCCAAGAGCAAACAACCAGTTGCCATCTTCACGCCAAAGTGCAAACCCGCCGCCGCCACCATCGCCACCCCCCCCCCCCCCAACGTCGAACACGTACGCAGAACGAGACTACAACGCCCGGTGATGACGATATCGACGATGATGAGTCCACGACACCAGCACGACTGCCAACGCCGACACCTTCACCTGCTGCACCTCCTCGCCTCACTGCTGCTTCTCCTGCCGATGGTCTTGTTGCTTCCCTTGTCATGGTTGTGTCCTCTCCCCATGTGCCGTAGGAGGGCTGCCGCTGCTGTGCTAACACGGCGCGAACGCAGGAACCGTCGCTGGCATGTGGGCACACAATGCGCGACTCGAAGCACAGTGCCACGCCACCCAGCAGTGGCTGCAGCGGCCATGGGAACGGGGGCTCAACCACGTGCACATGCGGGCTTGGTGGCAGAGTGGTATTTGTCAGTGGTGGTGCTGTTGTGCTCGTTGGTGCAGGTGTTGTTGCTGGTGTCGCTGTTGGTGGCTGTGGTGGTAGGTGGGCTCTTTGGGTTGGCTGCTCACGCTCCCCTCCATCACGCTTCAGACCTGCCTGCCCACGCTCGCCTTCGTTCCGCTGCTGGTGCTGGTGCTTGATTGGTGTGAGCGACAGAGCGCCGTTTGTGGTGATGCACAGATGTGTGGCACGCGACGTGAAGCAGGGACGTTGCCTGTGCATGCTTGACGACGATGACGACGGTGATGAAGACGATGAAGGAGATGATGGTGAAGATGCCAATGGTGCACCGTGTGCTTGGAGAGGAAGATCTAAGCGCCGTCCGTGCTGCCCGTGCTGCTGCTGTTGTGCGCCAGGAGCTGGCTCCCAGACACGAACCGTGCCCACATGAACGCCATCGCCATTGCCACGAAGGTGCTTGCGTCGCTTCCGTGACGTCGCTGTCACACCATCTCCAGAATCAGCAGTTCGGACTGCCCAGAGGTCACTCGTCTCCAAACACGTCTCATCCACACGCCGCGACACAACCTCCCATTGTTGCTCAAAATCATCATCATCATCACCATCGCTACCGCCATCACCACGGCTGCCGTGGGTGCCTTCCGCAGTCTGTCTGCAGAGGGAAATGTTGAGTACAGACGGGCGCACACGCGACTCGAGCGCAAATGCACGCACACGCAAGCTGTCACCACGCATGGCAGCGTTGGGTGTGGCGTCGCTGTGGCGATTGTCGCCACCATCATCACCATAATCACTGCTGCTCTTGTGCTCATCAATGGGGGTTAAGGGAAGTGCAAACGTGGATGTGGTGCCGGGGCGAGCGGGTTTCAGCAGCAAGAGCTGTGCTGATGACGATGATGAGGCCGGCACTGGCACCTGTTGGAAGGTCAAACACACACACACGCACACACACACGCACACACACACGCACACACACGCACACACACACACAGACACACACACACGAGATAAGACGTGAGGACACAGGCAGCAGAAGAGCGCGGCAACAAGTCGTCTGTGCAGCGTCAATAGCAAAGTTGTCCGTGTGTCTTTGACTGCCTGTCTGTGGCTGCATGTTAGTTTATCGACGTGTCTGAGCGAGAGAGGGGATGTGAGAGTGATCACATCGCCTGGATCAACGGTGTGATATTCGCACCTGTCGTGGATGTGTCAATGTGTAGATGGGCGGAATGGGCGCGTGTGACTCAAATGTACGCATGTACACATGTTGACGAGCAGCGGCGTCATTGATGGCGCCGCTGCTGCCGATGATGGACCCGGTGGTGGGGACTCGCTGTTGTCCACATGTGCGTACATGGGTACGATGAGAGGGCGTGTGCGTGTGTGTGTGCGTGTGCGTGTGTGTGTGTGTGTGTGTGTGTGTGTGTGTGTGTCTGTGTGTGTGTGTGTGTGTGTGTGTGTGTGCGTGCGTGCATCGGGATACGAGGAGCAATCGTGAGCAAGAAAACGGCATGCACATGTGGTTGTACTTATTTGAGGAGTGAGGCTGCATCATGTGTGAGTGAAGGTTGTGTGCGGAAACAAGTAGCACAAGTACACGGTCAATTTGTGCGCGAGAACACAACACACATCAGTGCCGAAAAGAAGGCACAACGGTCACACTTCATATATTTCTGAAGCGAGAACAAAACCACCACAACAGTGCTCACCCTCTCGGCAGCGGCGATGGTGTGCGAAAGTGTGGTGACGAGTTGGTGGCACCAGAGGACACACAGGTGGTCAGCGGGGACGAGGACTTCAGGCATCAGCGACGTGTCGACAGCCAAGCGGCGGAGTACCGCTGGCGAGCAGGACAAGGGGGCGGTATGAGACGCACACTCATCTGTCATGCATGGTTCGCTGAAACAAACATGCGGAATAAAAAGACAACAGTCGCCACCACCACTGTGACTCACGGTGAGCTGGGAGTGTTAGTGCTGGCGGCACGAGTGCATCGCGAGCGCCACCAGAGACGACAACAACAGCAGCGCTGCCGAACACACGTGCAGGCAGGGCTGCTGCGTCTGCCGGTGATGGCAGTGAAGGGGTCGTGGACAGCTGACCATATGCACGCACAAGCCCGGGATCTGTACATATACGCACGCAGACACACGAGTGATAACGTTACGTTGCAGCGCGAATGGTAAGAGCGTCGCGGTGGTATGTGGTGAAGCCACATGTCAATCTCACACATCAAACACATACGCACGCACAGCGGGGGACAGAGACAATCACACACACACCACACGTACGCGCACAGAGGGAGAGAGAGAGACAGACAGAGATAATCACACACTCCACACACACACACACACACACACGCACACACACGCACACGCACACGCACGCACACACACGTACGCACACTCCACACTCCACACGCACACGCACACGCACGCACACACGCACACGCACAGGCAAGCGGTGGACGGGCAAGAGGGGCCGCCAGGGTGACCACTGTGGAGACGAACTGGTTGATCAAGATAGACAGAGAGAGACAGACGTGGGGCGGGGCGCCGGTGAGTGGTAGCATATGGACTGCAGACACTACACGACAAGCATCCAAGCAGAGCCACGAAATTGCGTGCACATACAATACGACGCGAAAACGCACAAACACACACACACACACACACACACACACACACACACACACACACACACACACACACACACACAGCAACACGTTCATACACACGCACACACACACATAAACACAACACCCCCCCCCCAAGCACACCCATCCCACACCTCTGCCACGAGGGAAGTTGGTTGGACGGACGCGAGTGCGATGACACCACCCATGGAGTGGCCGATCATAATCACTGGACCTGCACCCGTGAAACAGCAATGATGAAGACAACAACGTGAGCTGCACTTTTCCCCAGTCCAGGGCCGGTCCCCACAAAGCGATGACAAAAGCACGTACGGAAGCCCCTTACGCATGTCAATGGAGGACTGCTGGTAGAGATGACGAATGGCCCGGATGCATGCGGTGACAAACACCTATGACCCACGCGTCACCACCACGCGTGTATGTGTATGGGTGTGCGGATGAGTGGGAGGGTGAAAGGAAAATTTGCACTGCACCTCGCAACGCATGCACAGCTACTCGGCTGTCCACATCGTACACGCGTTTGACAAGCGAGCACACATGCGCACAAACGTGCACAAACACACGCAAGCGCGCACCTGCTGCTCTTGCAAGACGAATCCAGAGAGGCCAGAGGGCTCTTCGCGGAAGTCGATGGTGAACACGTCAAAGCCGGTTGACACGTGGCCTGCGTGATTACGGCCACTCATGCCATGTGTGTTGGCACTTGGAACAGGCAGTCCAGGCATGACATCCAGCTTTGATGCCAGTGATCGAACCTTTCTTGCACACGAGACGCAGTCCGTTGATTTGGGGGGGGTGAGGTTGCAATCAAACGTGTTTGTGATGTGACACTGCGCGCATGACAACAGAGAAAACGCACATGCGCTTTGCCACGCACCACCACCACCAACGCGGCGCGCGCACATCCTTACACATACCGCACACGTACACACGCACACGCACGCGCAAAACGGAGTTGAGCGCCTCAGTCAACACCACAAACGCACAAGCAGGACATGTACTTGCAGGACATGGAAAAAAGTGTACGACACCACCTGCTCATAGCTGCCGAGATGCCCTGGGATGAAGAGGACTGGGCGACCACGCAACGCAATGGGCCTGGCACGTTCCTTGTAGACGAGTAGCCGGTATCTAGGGTGATGTGGCGCTTCAAGTGCCGTGTAACTGCATCCCCATGCAATCGTATGAAGGGGCGACCCAACAACACAACTTCTCGCAGCTAACAGACACAACCGAAACGACACTCAAATTCCATCCTCCTCCTCCTTTTCCTCCTTTTCCTTTGCTTCCCCCCACCACCCACCCCCCTCACTTACCTGGGGTACATGTATGTCATGTGGCACTTGTTCTCCACACTGGCGTAGCGTTGGTGGTGTGCCATCCACAGTGGCACGGCCACCAAGCACAGCACCACCACTGCACACACGCGAGCAGCGTGCGTCATCGCTGTTGGCTGCACTGTGCGGTTACAGAATATTCGTCATGTTTCCCGTTACATTTCTTCTAGCACTCTCAGCAAACAAACACAAACAAAAACGTTCCCACTGACTGACTGCACCACCTCGCCTGCCGATCGATCGATCAAAACGAGCAACCCAGCGACAACCCTCAACCATGGTACGCATGTTGTGAGCGAGGGAGTATGACATGAGTGTGCGTGGGTAGATGCCTGATCACCTCGCTCGCCTGTACTTGATTGTCCGCCCTCTACGTTTGCTGTCTTTTGACTGTCTGTTCGCTGTCTCATTTGTTGCTCACCTTCTCTCTCGTCCCTTCTTCTCCTTTTTTTTTTTTCTCCTTCATCAGGCCATGGATTTCAAGGCTTCTGCCGACAAGTTCATCAAGTTTGTCAACGCCAGCCCCAGCCCCTTCCATGGTACGGTCTTGGTTTTGTACTGCGCCTTGCGCACCTGCACGCCTTGTTTGTTGGGGCGGGCGAAGGCTGTCCTTGCTGTGTTTGCTGGCCTTTGTTCTGTCCTCATGTGTGTGTGTGTGTGTGTTTGTGTGATGGCTTCTCCACCTTCCTTGCAGCCGTGCAAGCGTCCAAGGCTGCTCTCATCGAGGCCGGCTTCAAGGAGATCCGTGAGCGCGATGCATGGGAGACGAAGCCACTCGGCAAGGTATGGATTGGAATGCGTTCAGTGTGTTTGTGTATCTGTGTGTGTATGTCTATCTGTGTGTGTGTGTTTCTGCAAGTTTGTTGCAGTGCGTGTATGCAAGCTCGTGTGCGTCAACGCACTCCCACGCAAAGCGTCTCTTTCCAGTTGCCCCCCCCCGGCCGTTTTGGTCTGCTTTTCCCATTGTGTGTATTCTTGCCTCACGCCTGTGCACTGTGCCACCGCTTGTGCCACGCGTCCCCACCACCGCAATGCAGTACTTCTTCACCCGCAACCAGAGCACGCTCGTTGCGTTTGCTGTTGGCGGCAACTTCAAGCCGGGAAATGCCTTCACCGTCATTGGCGCCCACACGGACAGCCCTTGCCTCAAGGTGTACCAACCTGGAAGCATGTGTGTGTGTGTGTGTCTGCGTGTGTCTGTGTGTCTGTTCGGTCTTGTGGTCATTTCTTTGGTGCCTGCGTTTCGGAGCGTCTCTCTCTCTTTTTTTTCTTCTGTGTCCGTGCCTCTTTCTGTGTTTGTGTGCGTGCGTTTGCTCGTCTGCGATGCCTTCGCCCGAAACCCACACATAGGCGTCTCGTGGCGTGCCCTCCACTGCGCGCAGGTGAAGCCCAACTCGAAACTGAGCAAGGCCGGCTACCTCTCCGTGGGCGTGGAGTGCTACGGTGGCGGCCTCTGGAACACGTGGTTTGACCGCGACCTCAGCCTTGCCGGCCGCGTCATGGTCCGCCAGCCAGACGTGAGTCATCCCTTTATTTGTGTGTCTGTCTGTCTGTCTGTCTGTGTGTCTGTCTGTCTGTCTCTGCGTGTGTGCCGGTGACTGTGTGTGTCTGTGTGTACGTATGTGTTTTCCCTTTTGACTTTGTCGTTGTCTCTGTCTTTGCCATGGCTCACAGCAGTGCATTTCAACTCCACCGCCACGACAGGGCAACTTTGCCCACAAGCTGATTCGCGTCGACAAGCCCATCCTTCGCGTGCCAAACCTGGCCATCCATCTCAACGTGAGCCACTTGTCGCCCTCCCTGCACACGCGACATGCTACACCCCAGCTCATCACCCATGTTTTGTGTGTGTGTGTGTGTGTGTGTGTGTGTGTGTGTGTGTGTGTGTGTGTAGTCGCTCTACACTGCTCATGCTAACAACGACGCTTGACACGTTTGCTCTTATCAAAACGCACATACACACCTACACCAATTCGCGTGCGTGCACGTGTGTGCGCAGCGGGGCATCTACTCTGACGGGTTCAAGTACAACAAGGAGACGCATCTTCCCGCCATCCTCGCCATTGCCGAAAGTGCGCTCGCCAACAACCAACTTCTCTCACTGTCATCTGCCGTGTGTGTGTGTGTGTGTGTGTGTGTGTGTGTGTGTGAGTGTGTGTGTGTGTGGTTTCGCCTGGTTTCTCTGTGTGCCACTACCTTTCTGCCCTCTCCTCCACCCCCCACCGCTTCTCACATCTTGCTGTGCTTTTGTGACGGTTTGGACGTGGCAGAGCAACTCAACGCCCCAGCCAAAGGAGACGCTGACAAGAAGGAAGAGGTCAGCACAACACTTGCGCGCCTGTGTGTGTGTGTGTGTGTGTGTGCGTGCGTGTGTGTGTGTGTGCGCTCCTGCCTGTGTTGTATCTACATGCCCATGCACGTCGTCTCTGTTGCCTGTGTGCACGTGTGCTGTCTTCCCACTGCTTGGAACTTTGAAACTGTCCTTCTTCTCACCCACGTGCCGTGTATGCACTGCCTCTCTGCGCCGTCAGGGGAAGAAGCCGTTCTCGCAGGACGGCCGCCACCATAGCATGCTGCTCGAGATCATCAGCAAGGAGCTCGGCTGCGAGGTACAGCAGCCCACACCATGCTGACGATGACGGTGGTGGTGGTGGTGGTGAGGAGGAGGGTGTGGTGGTGGTGGTGGTGGTGGTGGTTGTGGCAGAGAGAGAGTGTGTGTGTGTGTGTGTGTGTTGGCTCGGAGTGATTGGCGTCCCTTTGACAAGGCATGTGTACAGTTGTGTGGATGCATGCAAGTGCTTCGCGTTGCTGGTGCCTCGTGTCACACGCTTTGAAATCAAACATGTGTATGTGTGTTCTCATGTCACGCTAATTCAGGTCAAGGACATTTGTGACTTTGAGCTCTGCCTCTTCGACACTCAGCCCTCGGTGTGTGCATGCTGCCTTGTCGTGTGTGTGTGTACATGCTGCCTTGTCGTGTGTGTGTGTGTGTGTGTGTGTGTGTGTGTGTGTGTGTGTGTGTGTGTGTGTGTGTGTGTGTGTGTGTGTGTGTGTGTGTGTGCTTGCACATGCATTGAGATGAGCGCAAAAACATCCTCAACCCCTCGCCCCATTTCCGGGTTGCTGATGTGTTACTGACGCTTTGTTCTTGTTTTCTTGTGTTTTTTTTTTTTTTCGCTGTTGTTGCTTGCAGGCACTCGGGGGTCCTGCCGACGAGTTTGTGCTCTCCCCGCGCCTCGACAACCTCGAGTCCTCGTTCTGCGGCCTTGAGGTGTGATGCATAGTGTGTGTGTGTGTGTGTGTGTGTGTGTGTGTGTGTGTGTGTGTGTGTGTGTGTGTGTGTGTGTGTGTGTGTATGTGTGTGTATGTGTGTGTGTGTGTTGTGTGGTGCACTTGCACGTGCACATGCAGCCCGATGCTTCTTCCCCGTGTTCCTGTGTTCAAATGCGTTGAAGCGGTGCGTTGTGGCGTGAGCAATTGCGAGTGTGTGTGATAACACTTTCGTTTGGCACCTTCCCCTTCGTGTACTCATACTGTGCTCGTGCACATGCTGTGCGCGTGGCAGGGCCTCATCGCGGCATCGTCCGATGCGGACCTGAAGGATGATACAACGACCCGGGTGCTTGCGCTGTTTGACCACGAGGAGGTGGGCAGTGACAGCGCCCAGGGCGCCGGCTCCTCCCTCTTCGAACACGTGCTTCGCCGCCTCTCTGCAGGTGTTGTGTGCACAGTCTTTGTCGTGTCGAGTTTGGCTGTTTTGTTGGTTGTTTTGTGCGCTTGTGCGTGCGTATGTTGTTTGCCTGTGTGTGTGGTTTCGCGTAGGTTTGTGTACATGTGCTGAAATGTGCGACGCCTGCTGCCTCGTCCGTACCGTGTCTTTCCACTTCTATAGCATCAATTGCCACATGTGTCTTCCTGCCATTTGCCTCAGTCCTGTTCTCAGTGACCGCATACCCACTCCCTCCCCTCCCAACACACACACACACACACACACACACACACACACACACACACACGCTGCCAGGTCGCGATGGTGCGTTTGAGGAGGCCGTTCCCAAGTCCTACATCATCTCCTCCGACATGGCCCACGCCATCCACCCCAACTACCCGTAAGCTCCTCGCCGTGCTCTCGTCAACGGGAGTTGCATGCATGTGGCTGTGTTGCTGTGTGCGCGCGTGCGTATCAATGTGTTTATGTTTATGTGTGTGCGTGGAGAAATGGTTATGTGTGTGCGTGCAGAAGTGTTTATATGTGTCTGTGTGTGTGTGTGTGTGTGTGTGTGTACGTTTGCCCGTTTTCCATGCTTCATTCTGGTTCATCTTTCTCATGCCATGTCATTCATTTCCATGTGTGGATGCGTGTGCGTGTGCGTCAACCACCAGGGAGAAGCACGAGGCCAACCACCAGCCAATGATGAACGCTGTACGTATCGCGCTTGCGTGTGCTTGAGTAGGCCGCACACGTTCTGTGTGGCGCATTCAATCTCAGCTTGTGTTGCTCATATTCTGCCGCCACAACCACAACACCAACAACTCAACAACATCTAAAACTAAAACGACCTCAACAAAACACCTGCGACTGTAGGGCCCTGTGATCAAGTTCAACACCAACCAACGTTATGCAACCAACGCAGTGACAGCTCTCATTCTCCGCCGCGTCGCCGAAATCGCCGATGTCCCCCTGCAGGTTGTTGGCATGGGCGTGGGTGTGCTTTGGCGCCTCTGTGCGAACACATTGTTGTTCAGGCTTGCAAGCCGCACTCGAGCAACCACCCGGTTCACACACACACACACACACACACACACACACACACACACACACACACACACACACACACACACACACACACACACCACAGGATGTGATGGTGCGCAATGACAGCGCCTGTGGCAGCACCATCGGCCCCATCCTCAGCGCTGGTCTCGGCATTCGCACAATCGGTACTGACACACTGCACAACTTCTTTTGTTGTCGTGTTCATGCGTTTGTCCTCCTTCCCCCTCTCCCAGCGTGGCCGGGCTCGATCAAGCCCACACCTCCCCCCCCCCACCCCTCCTTTTGCTTACGCACTTCCATGCACCTCCTCTGCGACCTGCCTCGCTTGACTTTTGACGCAGACATTGGCAATGCCCAGCTGGCCATGCACTCCATTCGCGAGATGGGCGGATCACACGACATTGCCTACGCCGTCACCCTCTTCAAGGTACATGACGATGAGTCTTTCTTTTTCCCGATTTCCCTGGGGCAACCCTGGAACATTATTTGACCTCCACACACACACACACACACACTTACACTCACACTTACACTCACACACTCACTTACACTCACCCACTCACACTCACACACACACACACACACGCACGCAAACCCACGACAGACGTTCTACTGCAAGTTTGCTGAGGTTGACGCCAGCGTGACTGTTGAGTGAAGGCAGTCGCATCCCATCACAGCACTCACGCATCACACATTGCCCTCCGTTGCTGTGGGACAAGTGCCGCCCTCGCCACATCACACGCGTCCCTCTCCTTTCCTTGTTGTTCTGCATGTCTCTTTGTCCTCAACCACCAGGAACAAATTTAAAACAATTTTAAAGTGGCACCCGAACGAATGGCACGAGTGCCTCGACACAGTTCTCGAAATTGATGACGTCATTTCAAACAAGTGGCACTCTTGGCGAACACATGCCAAGGTTTTCTTTGGTGGCGGCATGCCCCAATACAGAGACCCTGTACGTTCCCATCGTCCGATCCGTCATGCACGGGGACCGGTGTGAGACGTGAGCACAATGTGCTGTAAGAGTAATTGCGTCGCATGCTACGCAGCACGAATATTCCCACGCGCTCAACCTTCCCACCTCAGGTAGTGCACGGTTGGCCTACCTGCCAACCTCGCTGTTTTTTCCCTCGCATGCCGAGTTTGCTCGCCTGCTACCGAGGGCCTAAGTGCGTGTGCGTTTGTGTGCGTGAGCATAACCATCAAGCGCAGAGAGAAGACTTCCCCTTGTTCGTGGCACGGTGCCAACAACAACACTACAAGCAACGACAGCGACAAGGTGTCAACGGCAAGCAGCGGAAACATAGGAAACAAGCACAACGCACCGAGCAGGGTGAGACAAGAGCACATCCCACACGCTTAAACTTCTGCAAACATAGTCCTTGTGGGTGGTCTTCTTCCCTGACAGAGTTCAGCGATGGATCAGTATCTCGTGGCGCGCTCATAGACTTCTCATCGCTGTCCTCGATCAACCCCTTCTTCCTACAACAACAGAACAACCATCGCCCAACCCAGCCTCTACGCGAAGAGAGAAGGCACCAACCGCTCTTCTCTGCTTTCCAATAACAATCTCGCGGGGGGGGGGGGCACTTCTCTTCGTCGTGACGTGGCTGATTGAGACTCGCCCATGCACCTGCCATCGCCGTATCTCTTCTTCAGCAGCCAAGACTGCGCCCTCAGCAGTCCTCGACAAGTCGCTCTCTCTCTCTCTCTCTCTCTCTCTCTCTCTCTCTCTCTCTCTCTCTCTCTCTCTCTCCTTCTCTCTCTCTCTCTCATTCGCTCTCTCTCTCTCCTTCTCTCTCTGGCAAAGTGGTTTCAACATCTCACAAGTCTCCTCCACCCTCCTCAAGCATGGCTGACCAGCGCCCAACACGCAAGAAGCATCGCAACCGCTGTAGCTTCTACCACTGCCGGCGAAAGGATCACGAGATGCAAGATGGTGCCGTCTATGTTGGCAAGGCGCGCAGGGAGCAGATTCTTCGAGGACCAGGTGGCTGGCCTGCGCCCGAGCATCAGAGTTCGATTGAGAGAGATCAGTTCGACAAGGAGCTCGCGAAGGCCCGTGCAGTCGTTTGTGCTGCGCACCTCAACGAAAGAGGCCACGAAAAACGCCTTCAACGCGCGCGCAAGCCCTTCTCTCCGGCAGACTTCAGGTCGTTTTACCCCCACGCTTCACAAGCCGCATCGGGCGACGAACACACCACAGCCGCCGATGCAGAGAAGGGTAACAACAACAACAGATGCAGCAGGAGCAACAACAACAGATGCAGCAGAAGCACCACCAACAACAACAACAACAACAGATGCAGCAGGAGCAACAACAACAACAACAACAACAACAACAACAACAACAGATGCAGCAGGAGCAACAGCAACAGCAGCAACAACAACAACAACAACAACAACAACAACAACAACAACAACAACAACAACAACAACAACAACAACAACAGATTCAGCAGCAACATGCACAAAACCACAAAGTGATTGGGGTTGATGCATACGGGGAGTTCAATTCCGCTGCAGACATCACAGCTGCATCCATGACGACAACTACAGAAGAGCGCCGTGCGTCATCGCAGACACCGCAAGAAGCGTTCCAATCGTCATCAGCATCATCGCAACAAGGGAGCACTTGGGGCGGAACCGCCCATCGCCGTCGTCACTCCGACAGTGGGCACCGAAGCAGTGGAGGTAGTGAACCCAAGCTACCCACGCAGCATGCACAGCAGCAGCACTTGCACCGCTCCCAGCCCCGCGTACGCGACCTGCATTACGGGCAACAGCCTCCCTGGCACCATAGCGAAGGTCATTCACAGAAGAGCAACGGCAAATCAGCCACCGGCAGAAGCAGTGGGAGCAGCAGCAGCAGCAACACCACGAACACAAGCGTGGCACGCGGCAAGCAAGAGCACGCTTTAAACCAGCAGGATCCTCAAGGACAGCCCGAGCCGCCACAGCAAGTTGCCGCAAGTCCACGCCACCAGCAGCAGCGCAAGCACTACTACCACTACCAACGCCACAACCACCACCACCACCACCACCACAGCCACAACCACCACCAGCATCACAACCACGACCAGCAGCACCAGCAGTACAATTCCCAGCCACAACAAAGTCATGCCTCGGACCGACGCTCTCGGCACCAGCGTACGCGTGACTACGGACGCGGTCGCAAGAGCAACAGGAGTGAGCGACAACGGTCTCCATCACTGCTTCGACACCGCCGACAACAAAACCGCAACCGTGGGCGCAGCATGTCGCTGACGTCGTCGTCGCTGTCATCATCTCCCCACTCGCAGTCCAGTTCGGGCGGCTCGTGGGACCTGATGGTGCCGACACACTCACGGCAACATGGGCGGCACAGTCGCGTGACACGACGCAGGAGGTGGCGGTCATTCAGCGGCAGCTCACCATCCACAGACATCGCGGCACCGTCCACAACCGATACGTCGACGACTGATCGGAATGATGACAGCAGCAGCCCAAGCAGCGGTTCGTCGGATTCGTTCACACCAGCAAATCACAAGAAACCACCGCCACAGCAGACGCAGGGCGCCAGCGGTGGCAAAAGAACAGCACGCACACGCAGAAAGAATGTGAAAAAGCGAGGTGGTGCCGGTGGTGGCGATGACAGTACCGGCGTAGCCCAACAGACACCTGGGCAGCGAACGCGAAAACCTGACTCTGGGGGCGCTGGTCAAGATGGTGGGGGTGCAGGGACGGGCCAAGGGCAAGCCGGAGCGAGGGGAGGTATGACGTGGCGCACCCCACACCACGTTCGAAACCAGAACGAGCGCATAGAGCTGTTGGAGCGAATGAACGCAGAGTTGTCATTTCGAAACTGGCAGCAGACCATGTACATCCAGCAGCTTGAGCTTGTGGTTGGTGCCAGTCGCTCGCCACATGAGCAGGGGGTGGCCACGTTGTCCCCGATGCTGCAGATGATGCGGCTGCGCGCCTTCTCTCCCAACCCGTTGGGACCGCTTCAGACGCAACGGTCGCCGCCGCAGCAACAAGTGCAGCATTCGCAGCAATCGCCGCAGCACATGTCGCCTCGACCACGCGTGCAGCAGTTGCTGCCACAGTCCCAGTATTACCTGCCGCAGCAGCCGCCGCCATGGGCCCTGCAACCGCCGTATGTTACGCCACCAGCCCGGTACATGCAGCCACAAGCACAAGTGCAGCCACAACAACAACAGCAACAACAACAACAACAACAACAACAACAGCAACAACAACAACAACAACAACAACAGCAACAACAACAACAACACGACACGACAGACACGACACGACAGCAGCAGCAGCAGCAGCACA